CCCTGGTTAATTAATTAGAGTAATTAATTAGAGTAATTAATTAGAGTAATTAAAACCGGTGCTAATTGCTGTGTTCCAGGCTGAGGGCAGGCAGTTCCTGGATGAAGAGGCCGAGCTGTCCCAGCAGGATGCAGAGGGAATCTCCTCGGATGAGAGCGATGGCAGCGAGCTCAGCTCATCCCTGGCTCAATTCCTCAGCGATGATGGGGAGGTGACACAGGCCCTGGATGGTGAGTGGGAATTCTGTGGGAATTCTGTGGGAATTATTCTGTGGGAATTCCTGATCCGTGGGATCCCCGGAGGGATGGGCATGGAGCAGGGATCACCTAACCTGGGCTTGAGCTGCACCCAAAGCTCTGCCCGCCTGGAAAATGCCAAGGGAAGGGCTGGAGTGGGTCAGGGCAGGTTTGGGATGGATTTTGGGAAAGGTTCTGCTGTCCCCAGAGGGTGCTGGCACTGCCCAGGCTCCCCAGGGAATGGTCCCAGAGAGCTCCAGGGATGCTCAGGGGGGATTTTGGGGTGGGGATGGAGGATCTCGGTGGGTCCTTCCAGCTCAGGATATTCTGGGGTTCTGTGGCAGCTTTTGTGACATGAGCTGGGTACAACTGGAATCCCAAAATGTTTTGGGTGGAAGGGACCTTAAGTCCAGCTTTGGGATGGGGCCTGCAAGGCTTGGTTTAGAGTCCCAAAATGGTTTGGGATGGGAGGGACCTCAAATCCCACCCAGAACCATCCCATCCATGGCAGGGACCCCTCCCACTGTCCCAATGTCCCCAATGTCCAGCCTGGCCTTGGGCACTCAAAGGGATCCAGGGGTGCAATTCCATCCCATATCATTCCCACCCTCGCAGCCACCAATTCCCAATTCCCAGATCCCATCCATCCCTGCCCTCCTTCATCCTAAACCCTTAGTCCTTGGCTTTGACATTTCCAGAGGTGTCTGGGGAACTGCAGAATTTTTTTTTTTTTTTGGGAAATTGAGGTTTTGTGAAAACCATAAAAGAATGACAGACTGCAGAACACACAGTGTAACAGCTGTGAATTAACTGTTGATTCTATCTGTGCTAATCCTGTATTTTTTTTTCCCCTGGTTCCATTCAGATCTGGAGATGAGAGGAGTTTACCTGAGCTCCGTGCGCAGCCCCGCCCTGGGCACCCGCTACAGGATGGTCCRTCGGGATTTCAACCCTGCAGTGATCTTCTCCCAGGTCAGTGSCACCACAGCTGCTTTTGGAAAAAAACAAATTCTAATCCAAAACTTCAGCCTGGAGAAAGCTCCAGGGAGAGCTCAGAGCCCCTTTTGGGGCCTGAAGGGGCTCCAGGAGAGCTGGAGAGGGACTGGGG